TTTGATACATTCTATGTATCTTTTTAATAAACATATTTTCTTCAATTTATTAAAATGAAAAAAAAATGATATTGATAAAGGCATCTTAAACCTCTTATCAAATATCAAATCACTAGGCATTGATATTGGGTGAGAAATATGTTATTCTAAGTAGGTGTAGAAGGTGGGTGTATAGTATAGGCAGAGCAGTAAAAAGGTTGATGTATGCATGCATGCATGCAGTGAATGGATAGTTGACAGCAGAGAGAAATGAGGGATCAAAACAAACCAAGGAAAAAAAGATTAAAATGGTCCAAAAAAGGCCATGATAAGATGGTGATGGAAACTGCACAAACGTCACAAAAATGGGGCATGCAAAACACTAAATAAATAAATAAAACCAAAAATGTGTTCTTGGTCTCTTAATTTATTTGTCATTGTAAAGTATCTCTTACTTTTTTCCCAAAAAAAAGAAGTTACAATTTTAGTCATGAGCAAGAAATTGTTAAACTCCATTAGGTTTTACTTAGAGCATCCCATTTGTGTGGGTTTTTATCAGATTTATGTCATAAATTAAATAATAATAATAATAATAATAATAATAATAATAATAATAATAAAAAAAGTGGTCGTCAGTTGGCAACCACCCTCAACACGCCCAGTGAACACGTATAGTATGCGCGTCCACTGGGCGCTGCGGGTGTGCATTAATTTTTTTTTTTTTAATATTCATATTGTGAGGGCCATCTTTGAGACAAAAAATCACTCTTCCTGCAACACTTTTTTTCTTCTTTCTCCCTTTTCTCTTTCTTCTACATCAGCCACAAACTCTAAAAAAAACGAAGCAAAATTCACAATTGGGATGCCCTAGTACACAGATATTTTAGTAATTTGCTATAATTTTTTTAAATTATTATAACCCCAATTTGTCCTGATATTATATATATATATATATATATATATATATATATATATATATATATATATATATATATATATATATATATATATATATATATATATATATATTTTGGTGGATAGAGAATTTGATTTTAATAAATTCATGTAGGAAAAACTTAGATGATGTACCACATGCATTTAAATTAAAGAAAAAGATTTAGGAAAGAAGGTTGGTTGTTTATTTTTCTGTTTTAATTTATAAATGAATATCGAAGTTAATGTGATTATAAAGAAAAAGAAAAGATAATAAATTATTAAAATACCATTAACTAAGTTAAACCTGTCGTAGTTTAATGGTTTGGTTGCTATAGAGAGTAAAATTGTAGCTTTTTGGAAAAGTTATGAAGAATATTACAACGACAATAAGTTATAAACTAAAACAATTAGTAAATAATAATTGAAAGGTTAAAATACAATTTCTCACAAGTACAAATTCGGGAAATAAAGAAGGAGAAATTTTAAGGCAAGTACACGTATTGTATTTTATAAAGTTATTCTCTCTCCATTTTATATCACACCAAGAATATTACTCCGTATGATACAACTTCATTAGGAGATAATATCTAAAATAGTCATTCAATTATTTCATAATTCTCAAATTGATCCTCAATTACAATTCATCTAAAATGACCCCTCAACTATGTAAAAATTTACTCAATTTAGTCTTCGGCAAGGTTTAAAAAATTGCTAGGCGCACGTTTGCTTTTTTAAATTTTAATTAAAAAAAAATAGTTAAACTCCCGCCTAGACGCCTGCCTAGTCCACAGCGACATACTCGGCGCCTAGGTGGTCGACCGCTTAAAACGGCGATTCCGTCAAATTTCTAGGCGGCCAGTCGCCGTCTAGCGCCTAGCAAGACGCGTTTTTTGCAACATTGGTCTTCGATATAAGTAGCAGAGAACTAAAATAAGTGTAGTTTTACATAAGGGACCCTTTTTTATAACTTAATGATGAGGACTGTTTTGTGTATTAACTCACTTTATTAATGGTCAAGTATGATTATGTATGAGACGGTGAAAATCCTTGAAAAACAAAACATCATTAAAGCTTCTCCCAAGGTTGAATTCCAACTCGAAGGGCCCTCCACACTCCGGTCTGATAGAGCATTTGGGAGGATATAAATCACAGTGATTCAATGACTTAAAAGTCAAATGTTAGTGTACACAATGGATTTGTCCACTTTGAAAAACATAATCTCATACTACGACTCTGCTGCCGAGATTCGAACATTGATCTCTTCTCATAAATACACCTAAGTTGTGTGGGCAAAAACATGATTAAGCTAACAAAAGAGGGAGAGGAGGGGAAATATTGGAGCAGAGGCATCTGAAACACGTAATGTAATATGTGTTTGTTGTTCATCTGAAAAGGATAAAGTGAAGGCTTTGGGTGAAACCCCAAAAACAGCAACTCCCAGTGGTCCATTGTTACCCTCTGACAAAGCCCTCCATCAAAGTGTTAGTCGAAGCTTTCTCTCTCTCTCTCTCTCTCTCTCACTCAGACACGCAGAGCCAGACTGAGAGAGCACCAGGTGTTGATTTCATATTTTTCTAACTCACTCTGCAAACATTTCATATTTAGTACTGTAAATGCACCTACTTGGAAAACATTAATTTCACTCTTTCATCAAAATTAAACGTAAAAATTTTACCACAATCTCATTTTATTTAGAAGGATTCAATAATTAGCAGGAAAGTTTGAACTTTTCTATCAATTTAAAAAGTGAAAAAATTATTCTTTAATCCATGTAATTTAAATGTTTCTAGAATAATACGAAACATGTTAATCAATTTTTCCAACAAAGTTATTTCTAGTAAACCTATTCCATAGAATTATTTTCCTATAAATTTATAGCATATTTGAAAAACTGCTCAAAGTAGCTTTTTCGATTAGCTTTTTGCGAAAGTCATTTTGTATGTAATATGCTATCAGCTAACAATCAAACATTTTTTTACAAATGGTATCAACTAGTCAAACATACTAACTCAATCAGTTAACAACTATTTACCAAACACCCCATTTATAATTTGGATATAACAACACTTAGTTTATTAGCCAAAATCTAGCTTGTTTGATCAACTTTAGCTTGTTTGACTTGTCAAGCAGTTAATATAAGTATGACACTATCAACAGATCAACCCAACTAACACAACCAACTATTAGCTAACAATCAATTATACAATCACCCCTTATTTAGTTCGCTAGATATTTAAAATTGTTTGTATGGTTGGAGTCTCGAATTCATACATTAATTGTATGAATTAATGAGATTATAAGGTAACACAATTGATCTAAAAATTCAAATAAATAAACCCAATATCTTAAGCTCATAGATTAGCATTCTAAAGGATGAACTTGTGGTCTAGTGGCACAAAATGATTCTTCCATATGAGAGGTAACCCCTCAGTATGGGCGATATTATTCGATCAGTCAGACTTCTGCCATGCGATAACGTTAATTTTGCAGGAATAAAAATCAAGAAAAAATCACTCTAGCAAAGTTTCATCGTTGCACCGATTACCTAGATGTTACATAAATAGTCATTTCATATACATACCCACCTACTAATCGTTACCTATATTAATTTATTACTTATTAGTATGTGTTGATCGGAGCTGTTTGATTCCACATAATTGATCTTGTTCTCCGTCATTTGTACTCAATTTTATAATGCCTATTTTATACTTGATCATTAATAAGAACACACTATATATGACACTATCCTAATATCTCTATCATATCCCTACCATCTTCATTTTTACTTAATTTAAGCATAGTCTCATCTAATTTTCACTATGAGTAATTTATTTGGTATGTGGGGCTATTCACACTGCAAGTACCAATCCAAGAAAGAGAGATGAGAGAGAGAGAGGAAGAGAGAGAGAGGTGTGGCAAAGCAATGCATGGCTAATCAACAGTAGAATTCTGAGAGATTTGTCTGACTAAATGTCTGTGTCTGTCTGGTGTTGAGCTGCAGTTAGAGCTCATGAATTCAGATTCAAATTAATATGGGAAAGAGAAAAGAAAGAAAGAAAGAAAGGCATATCAAAAGGAGGAAGAAAAAGACACTTTTTATCAAATATATGCAATTTGCATTTAGTACTTCCTTCCAACATTAATGCTTTGAATCCATGACTTTCACTATTCTGCTAGCTTGTATTCTTCTTCTCCCTCACCTCCTCTTCCAAATTTTAAACAAATAATATACACAATTATATATATATATATATATATATATATATATATATATATATATATATATATGGCCACTGTCACTCATAAAAACCACCCGTGAAGTGATAGAAAAATTTTATGGATTTGTAATAACAAAGTTTCATATTGATTTTATGCAGAGTTATTTATTGACTTTCTTGATTTGAATATAGACAATTTAGACTAATTTACCTCTTTGAAATCTTTTATTGACCAAACCAGGGTTTATTAATGTGTACCCTCAAATAGTAATTGTCGAAAATATATATATATATATATATATATATATATATATATATATATATATTATAGATATATGGATGAGATTAATGGAGAATTAAAAATGTGTATGTGCACAAAGAGCATATTATGATGTGTGCATATGGAGCATGTTTTTATATATATTGCACACAACACATGATTAATATGCGCACAACATAATGCTTGGTATGCACACGCATGTTTTAATTTTCATTATTAATCTCATCAGTAGATCTATATTTTTCATACACCATATTAATTCTCATAAACTCATAAGAAGGTTGTTTCACATAGGAACAATACCCTATAGGAACAATACCTATTTTATCTGTCATACTTTTAAATCAACTCTTTGTTCTTGGTTTATTTTTTTGAGTATTCTTTAATTATTTTTAAATTTGATTTGTTGTGTTTAATATATAATACTTGTTAGTATACGTAGTTTTTGAATATATAAATATACTGAAACTAAACTTAATATTATGAAAAAAAAAATTAGATTAAAAATAACATGAGTCAAATTTGATTAATTGGCGAATCAGACAGATAAAATAGGACGGAGGGTTTGTCTAGGTCCATTCCTCCTATCCATTTTCAAGGGTTGAATTGGAGAACAAATGCACGCAAAAGCAAACATGCAGAAAGAGCCAAAAGGTCACTAGTCAATCTCTCTCTCACTACTCATAAAAACTACACCTTTCAATTCACTCCTAGCTAAGCTACTCTTTCCCTTCACAGTTCACATGTCGCATATATGCATGGATCAGATCAGTACTTCTTCCCAGCAGCAGTTGCAGATCAGACCCTGTTCCTCAGCTCCTCCTCATCGTTATCAATGGCGGCAGGCATCTATCATCACGTACTCTCACAATCATCATCATCATAATACAGATCATCATCATCATCTTCTTCCTCTTCTTCTTCAACCTCACCATAGCCACCGCACAGCAAGGCGCTCTCGCTATGCGCGGCGTGGCCCTCCCCGAACGCCCTGACGTGGTCCTTGAGCGATCTCTTGTGCTTGAAGTCGGAGCCGCAGATGCAGAACCAGAGGCGGCCGCAGTTCTTCTCGTGCGTCTTCCAGTCGCCTCTCACGGCGAACGCCTTCCCGCACTTGCGGCACGCGAACTGCTTCGCCCCGTGCTTCCGCTTGTAGTGCGTCTGGAGAGTTCGGAAGTCCTTCAATGGCTTCGCCCGGGCGTGCCGGATGTTGTTCTTGCACCCCTCCGCGCAGCAAAAGCACGGCAGCAGCCTTAACATGGAAGAGGAAGAAGATGGAGACGATGAAGATGATGATGGCTTTGACGTCCCTTTTAGGGAATCCGGTCCCTTCCGGTACTGGGATCCATGGCCCCACATATGCATCTGCACATCCCAAATTTCAAATAAATAATGGGACAATTAATATCTGCGGACTCAAACCTGTGAGCTTCTGTTTGGAATCGTATAACTGTGATACCATCAAACTACAAGGTACTTGACAGGACAATTATAGTATCTGCTGACTCGAACCAGTGACATTCTGTTTGGAATCGTATACTTGTGATACCATCAGACTACAAGGTACTTGACAGGACAATTATAATATCTGCTGACTCGAACCAATGACCTTCTGTTTGGAATCGTATAACTGTGATACCATCATACTACAAGGTACTTGACAGGACAATTATAATATCTGCTGACTCGAACCAGTGACATTCTGTTTGGAATCATATAACTGTGATACCATCAGACTACAAGGTACTTGACAGGACAATCATAATATCTGCTGACTCGAACCGGTGACATTCAGTTTGGAATAGTAACAGTAATGTCATCATGCATACTACATACTACAATCTAATCTAACCTTAACTATAATATCAGTTGACTCGAACATGTGTCATTCCGTGTGGAATGGTAATAGTGATGGCATCATACTATAATATCTGCTCACTCGAACCCGTAACCTTGTGTTTAGAATGGTAATTGCCATTACACTACAAGGTGGGACAATTATTTCTTGTAAAAGCAACTTTTTTTTCTCTTCTTTGTTACTTTACCCATGGAAGGAAATGGAAATTTTTTTATACCTTTTCATAACTGGGAAATCTATACATGAATTGATAAAAATCCAATAAGTCATCAGACAATGCAAAGACAAAAGCTGAACTACTTCCTCAAAGATGAATATGGAATGAAATGATTCAAACCCTAACTTTTTGGTTTGATGAGCACATGGATTATGGTTAAGACATAAATTTCCTTTTCAGTATAAAAATGGAATAGAGATTAAACTCAAGACATTTTATATACAGTCTTAATTATATTCCACTGAACTACAAACTGGTAGACTAATCAGCAGAAAATATATGGTAAGTTTTTATTCCTAGACCTCTTAAAATGAGTCTTAAATATGTATATTTCACTAAACTACCAGAAAAAATACATGCTTAACAACTTATAGTTATTCAGTCCAATCAAACTATAAACCTGGTCAACTTACACCACTTAATTTAAGGCCTTAATATATATATTATACGGGAAAATCTTAGAGTATATACATGCATATATAGATACAATGGGATGGTGGTGGGGTTGGAATTGCCCCATTGGCCCCTTCTGAATCAGCTGTCATGCTAAGCAGTTTTTGTTTTGAGTTCCATTCTTGCATACAAACTTTCTTTATACGTATAGTAATGCAAATTAAGCTTAAAACCTCCATTTATACAAAGAAAGGAGGAAGAAAAAATGTCACAAAGAATGTTAAAATTAGGGCAAAACCCAAGAATGGTTTTAGATTAACCTAGCTAGATCAGAGATGTAACTAAACAAGAATTTGTGATGGGTAATTCTTTAGTAAAATAAAGAAGAAAAAAAAAAAACCTGCATGTTGTTGAAACGGTTGAATGTCTTGTGACAAACAGTGCAGGAGAATTGAGTGGGGCCAACAAGGATTTGAGCTGGAGTAGGGATCCAGTACTGATGATGTCCTTGACCAAGTGTAAGCCCTGCTGCTGCCACGTCACCACTAGGGTTAAAACTGGTAGAGCTGCTAGCCCCCCCAGGTGAGGAAGAAGAAGGTGGTGGGCCCATGTGGAATGCCACAGTGACTCCCCCTCCTCTTCCTCCTCCTCCTCCATAGTTCTGCAGGCTTTGGTGGTCCTTGAGGTTATTATAGCAGGTAGAAGATGATAATGATGATGATGAGTACAAGACATCTTGAAATAACCTTGTTTTCATGTGCTTTTGAGGATTTTGAGGATGATGGTGTTGGCCAGGAGGGCCTAGTGAAAGAACAGTGGAGGCATCATCTATTTCTTCATGATTATCTTGTTCCAAGTGGGCAGTCTCAGTAGAGGGCATTATGTGATGGGTGAAATTGGAGTGGTGAGCTTGCATGGTAGTAGTAATAATGGAGGAGTTTTGCAGGCAGGGTGGAGTGGAGAGTGGAGAGGGAAGGTGTAATCTAGGTTTTGGTGGAGAAGGTAAGATGGGAATTGAGGAAGAGAGGCAATAAATAAAGGAAAGAAATGGTGTGACTAGCTAGGATATGGGTAATAAGTAATGGATGGGTTCTTTGGTAAATGATGAATTTGGTAATTTATGATTAATTTGATAGAATTTCACGAGTTAATATTCAATTTAATCATTTATTATAGTGATTTTTTTTTTTTTTTAATTTAGTCCTAAGAAACAATTTTTTGTGTTTGATTAATTAAGTCATTATGACTTCAATGATTTTACCCAATTGAGTAATCGGTTAAAATAAATGGGCAATTTTACCACTATTAATACAATAATAATAATAATAATAATAATACTTAATTTAGTCATCGACTATAGCAGCTTTATCTAAGTTAGTCTTTGATTATAATGATTTACCTAATTTAGTCCTCGACTATATTGATTTTTCTCGATTTAGTCATTAATTTTAACAATCGAGGACTCAATTTGGTAAAACCATCAAATTCAATGGCCTAATTAAGCACAAAAAGTCGTTTATGACTAAATCAAGAAAAACCACTATAATCGATGACTAAATTGGGTATTAACTCGAAAAACCACTGTATGTATGTATGTATGTATGTGTATGTGTATGTGTGTGTGTTCAAATAAAGACACCCCTCCGGTAAAAACTAAAGACAGATCATAGTCATCCATCAGAGTTCATCAATAGTTAAAAGTTTTAGTAAAAAAAAAACACTAACATCACCTCTTTTCTCCTTATTTTTAACAACTCTTAACCGTTATATATCTAAATTGATAAATCAGATCAGTCCTCACTTTTACTTGAGAGCATGTTCTAATGTGAGACCATCTTACATATCTTTTTTTTTTTTTTTTTTTTTTTGTATATAGGGGAGGATGGGTGAGTCTCCTATAAGACCGCCTTACAGATCATTTTATGTGATACGAGTCGTGTTTAAATAGAAACATAATGCTTATAATGATGAACCAACATGGTTGGCGTGGTGGTTCAGCACCTCGTCCCTTAAGCATGAAGTTGGGGGTTTGATCCCCACCATGTGAATGGAGCAAACCATGGCCAGTCCCCTACCACTACAGGAATTAAGTGCCCTGTTATCGTCGGAGATAGGGATTGAAGAATTACTTATAAAGGAAAGTGTAATACAATACTTTGAAATCAAAATATAATATTTAGGAGTTGAAAAATTACTTATTAGGGAAAGTGTAATACTTATAAAAAGTCTTCTCCCAAACTTATAAAAAGTCTTACACATCTTACGGGTAAGATCCATGAGACGTCCTTATAAGAGATTTTGCACGCGCGCGCAGACACAGAAATTAATATCAAATTACTAAGTGAACATTTTTAAATAATTCTAATGTGAAATAATATTTTATAATATGATTATTCAAAATATTTCTATATATAGTACATTACATGTATACATTGTAATGATTTACACAAATATATATATATATTATATATATATATATATATATATATATATATATATATATATATATATATATATATATATATATATATTTGTGTAAATCAGAATGTGGTATTTTATAATATGATTATTCAAAATATTTCTATATATAGTACATTACATGTATACATTGTAATGATATATATATATTTTTTTGTGTAAATCACAATGTGGTTCGAGTCTTTCTCTGTCCGTTTAATGGTTCATGTTCACACGATTTGCTTTGAGAAGCATAGAAACTGGCCCAAAGGAAATCGTCACTTGTGGGAATCGAACCCGAGTTATGATATGACTATTTGATATTTGACACAATGTACATATATATATATATATATATATATATATATATATATATATATATATATATATATATATATCTACTATACTAATAAGAGCCCAAGAGAGTTAGGCCTATAATGGGTAGAAAAAATGGCGGTCAAATTTTTTAATCAAATGAATGGCTCAGATTGATCAGATTTTAATTTTCCCTTAAGATTTCCTAATTTATCCTTAATGAATATGATTATCCGTTAACTTTTCCGTTAAATATTATCTTTTCTGTTAATTTCTGTTAGTTCACCATTAACTTACTCATTGATTTCAATAAGAAAGGTCTTAGGTTCGAACCTCATCCCAACCAACGTTGGCATAATTAATACTCTATTTTACTCTTATTAAATTAAATAATAATTTAGTAGCTACAACAAAAACTAATACATATGCATTTCTTTAATTTAGAATTATGTGTCTACAATGTCTTTATTCAAGAAAAAATATTCATTATCAATAAATTGAATAAGAGAAATAATTTCATTAGTTATATTATATTGTCTTTATTTTTCTCCAATATAAAATTCATTACATTCAAATTCATCAATTGATTATATTCACTAAATTGTCTATTATCTTTTTTTGTGCACTATTTTTTATTAAATATAAAAGTTATAATACAAAATAATGATATATATTTATTTACCAAGTATTTTATTAATACCATGAAAAAATTAAAAAATATATATAATTAATAAAGTCAATCATATTAACTACTTGAGGGATTTGTTGACAAAGAGAGTATTCAAATCACACAACAAATTGAAGTGAAAACTACCTCGCAATGTTCTTGTTTGTCAATCAGCAATTAGCGGTTAGCGTTAGCGAATTTGACCAGCGAATTATATCAACAGTTGGTAAAAAGATATTTGAAAAAATTAGTTCTTTAGATTAACATGTAAAATGGACCTAAGGGTATACATAATAATAATAATAATAATAATAATAATAATAATAATAATAATAATAATAATAATTGTTTTTAAAAAATAATATAATAATAATTAAGCCAATCATATTAACTACTTGGAGATTTTTTTGACAAAAAGATTATTCAAATCACGCAACAAATTGAAGTGGAAACTACCTCGCAATGTCCTTGTTTGGCAATCAGCAATTATCTCTTCAATATTAGTCTATATTTAATATTTTATGCCCTAATTTTTATTTGTTCTCCCTTATGTCCCTTATTTGGTTTCAGTCATACCTATACAATTATTTTATTGACAATTATAATCAATCTTGACTATATTATATTGCATTTGTAAACTTAGAATATATTACTTATTTAAATATACAAATTCAACATTCAATTATCCATGCATGAACAATTCCGATATAATCTTGCCTTGATATACTTTAAAGTACTTATTTAAAAAATAAAACACTGGGCATTATCTCAATCGCGTAAAAAACTAGTATATATATATGCCGCGGTTTACTAGTTAAAACTTAAAAGTCACATGATATGTTTGTCCTACTCCTCTACATAACTGCAGTGTCTTTTTTTTTTTTGGGACCACATGTTACTTCACTGCAATAAATAAATAAATAAATAAATAAATAAATATATATATATATATATATATATATATATATATATATATATATATATATATATATATATAATATATACTCTCTCACTACTGAGATTCAATCCTGTAACCTTCTGTCAAAGAGAGCGATATAGGTGCCAACTGAACACAAGGTGCTTGACTATATAGTTCATATTTAATTAATAAGTATATATATATTCGTTTTTTAATAGGTTAGCATTATCTAATGAATCAAAATATTTTTATTGCTATGTTAGAAGGTGGAGGATGTTGGAAAATTTTGGTCCATGTAGATTTATCCTCATCCACATCCCTTGGGTTACATTGCGTTTTGAATCTTAATAAATAGGGTATAATTTTGACTTGATTGGAAGTCCAAATATTTTATATCATGTTAGATGATGAAAGATTTTGTAAAAAAAATAATAAAAAAAATGATCATTGTAGTTTTATCCTCATTCACATCCATTGGTTGCATAACTGTGTTTTGAATCTAAATAAATTAGAAATAATTTCAACTCTAGTTGGTCTTTGTAGTTTTATCTGCATCCACACCTCCATGGATTACCTAACTACCTTTTGAATCTCAATAAATATGAAACAGTTTTGACACCGAAAATCTAAATGTTCTTTTATGTGTTGATTTTTAAATAATGTAGAAGAACGATAGAGATTATAGTAACATTTTTTACTTTTAATTTTAATTTAAAGTCGAGATAGAACTTTATTTAAAGAGAATCAAACTCTTTTCACATGAATTATATATCATTAATGTGAAAATGTTAAAGGTAGAGTACAAAGAGTGAAGTTATCTACTTTTACAAGGATAAAAAATGCAATAATCAAAGTGACCATCTTTATGTTTGACAAGCTAAGGAACATTGTAAATTTATCTTTTTTAATATATATATATATATATATATATATATATATATATATATATATATATATATATAATGAGTCCTATGTGGGAGGCCCAATCAGCTTTAACAAGCCCAAATGTACGACTTCAAGAAATTGATGTCAAAAGGGCAAAATTAAGACAAATTGATGTCAAGATTGATCAAAGACAAACTCAATGACAAATATTTTAAATACAAGACTCAAACTTCAATCTTTAAGAGTAATAATTCTTGTGTATATATATCTACTATACTAATAAGAGCCCAAGAGAGTTAGGCCTATAATGGGTAGAAAAAATGGCGGTCAAATTTTTTAATCAAATGAATGGCTCAGATTGATCAGATTTTAATTTTCCCTTAAGATTTCCTAATTTATCCTTAATGAATATGATTATCCGTTAACTTTTCCGTTAAATATTATCTTTTCTGTTAATTTCTGTTAGTTCACCATTAACTTACTCATTGATTTCAATAAGAAAGGTCTTAGGTTCGAACCTCATCCCAACCAACGTTGGCATAATTAATACTCTATTTTACTCTTATTAAATTAAATAATAATTTAGTAGCTACAACAAAAACTAATACATATGCATTTCTTTAATTTAGAATTATGTGTCTACAATGTCTTTATTCAAGAAAAAATATTCATT